CATATGTATATGTCCTCTCCTGAATAACCACGCAGAAAATGTAGAAAGATACTGGGCATCTACACACATTTTAAGGGTTTGTGTTACTGGGTAAAGGGGTATTATTCCCACATTATTCCAATTGTGTGTGTATGTGTGTTTATTTGCACACTTCACACTGATTGCAATGAGCACCTGTGACAATTGTAATTTAAAATATATTCATAAAATCCTGAAGAAAACAAATACTGACGTCCTTCTGGAAACATCTACTTCATATGTAAATCAGGATCTGTGATAGCTTGCTTTGCTAATCTGAATCAGAAGGGAACTTTTTCATTCATGGAACCAATGATTTACCTTTTGATATGTCAACTAATGAAACTGAAATTCATGTTTTAATTTGGAAGAGCTGTGGTATGTTCTTTACCTTCTTGTTTCTGCCTGGTGCCAATTTTGATGTTGGGCATTCGCCATATGTGAAACAGCGCTGACACTAATACAGCTAGCACGTTTCCCGTGGACGAAAGGAACAGGCTGACCGCTGGCCTTCGGAATGGGGTGGACAGTCCACATGTTAGCAGCCCTGCCCGTTTCACTAAGCCTTTCTGTTAAGGGGTTGCATTGTTTCTGTTGAAAGCCTATTGAAAAATACTAATTGCAAATGTTTTCCATTTGATACTAGGTGATGTTGCCTAATTCTCTAGAGTTTTGTTCTTCATTTAAGTCGTATAGAAAGCGAGCCCATTTTATACTCTGGATGAGAGTAGTTTATTAGGACGTGTAAGAGGACGCATGATGACCTGTGACACAATTTGAACTAGGGTTTTAAACCCGCATGAAGTTCGGGGTGAGGGAGAAAAACTGGAGTCATTTGGGGTCCGATGGAAGACTCTAAGGAATTAGATTGTATGGAAACAAAGTTTTGAGTGAAAAATCTTTCTCTTAATACTTTCATGTGTCCTGGGTCACATTAGGATGATCCACTTAATGGGGGGGGGGGGCGGGAAGCTCACCATTATGCAAAAATGCATCCGCAAAAGCAGATAACTTCAGTAGGAATTATTTTCATTACAGACTAACCCAGCAGGGTTCCTTTAAAAACCATCTCCCCTACTGAATTTAAGGGTGTTATTTACAGATGATTAGCTATTTGGCTAGGAAGAGGTACAATTTAAGTCTTAAAAAATCTAAGGCCAGTTAAAGATCCACGGAGGAAAAAAAATGCATAAAAACCAAAAACAAAACTCCAGAGTTATCTTGTAAGTCAGTAGACACATAGGATCCAACATAACCAAAGGGTAATTTACACACACCTTTCTTCAGGATCACAGCTGTTAAACAAATGAGGAACACACACATTTTCAAGTTAAAAAACAAGAGCATCCTACGTGATTGCTGAGAAGTATGGTAGCCTCAGCTTCCAGGGCAATGGTTAGATTCCTAGAGAAAAAGTCTGCACCCATCAGACCTCAAAGACAAAATATGTGAGTCTCAGCCCTGTGCAAATCGAACCTGTTAGGAGGAGAACAATCCTGGATGACCATGAATATAACTCTGTGTGTGTGTGTGTGTGTGTGTGTGTGTGTGTGCGCGCGCGCGCGCACAGGCCTGCATGGAAACAAGACCCTTTATGTGCTGGCTGACCTGTTGCAGGAAATAGGGAATGGCTCTATACTGGAATATGCATCTAATCCGGAAGAGAAAAACGTAAGGGAATGTTGCAATGTCAGCAGTCCACAAACAGCCTAGACCAAAAAGCCATAAAGGAGAAAGGAAACCGCAGCAATGTATCTTAGGGATGTGCAGACAAACTTAACAGTCAACACCAATGCACAGCCTGTACATAGAAATAACTGAAGGCCCCTCTGTCTACCCAACTGGAGACGGAGAGGTCTCAGAGTCGGTCACCATTACAAAATACTAATCGAGCTTGACAATCTGAAGACCCTTGCTTAAGCATTGACAAGTGAAGATTCTTAATGTAAGAAAATAGTTATGCACATGTACCCTACAACTTAAAGTATAATAATAATAAATAAATTAAAAAAATTAGTTTTTGTTTTGCTTTTTAATGGGGTAGTAAAATTAGCTATTTTCTTTAAAACTGCTGTATCAACAGGCATTTATTTTAATATTTTTGAAAAATTGCTATGAACCTAAGTTCTCAAGAATAGGGGAAGAGGTTAAAATATAACATGAAACAACAGAATACTATGGGGCCATTAACAAATTTTTATAAAAAGCACATGGCATGATATAAAATGTGCAGGTAATATGACTGATACAATTTAGAAATGAAGGATTGTTGGATGCACATTATACAATTTCCATAATTGTAAATTTTTACTTTAAACATAGAAAAAAGTAGCTACACACAGTGCAGTGATACTGTATTTTTAATACTGAAATTGACTCTTTAAATTGGGGATCAGTACACTTCTTCTGTAAAGAGCCAGACTGTTAAAATGTTAGGCTTTGCAGGCCACCTAGGTCTCTGGCACATTCTTCTGTTTTGTTTTGTTTTTTCAATCCTTGGAAAATCTACAAACCATTCTTAGTTCATAAGCCTTGTAACACAGGCCACGGGCTGGGTTGGGTGATCTCTGCTTTAGATGGTTTCATTTTCTCTGTATGCTTTGACTATTTTATTATTGGAGAACTTGGGAAATATTTTCATGGCAAAGTGAAAGATGCTTCCCCAGTTCACTTTAGAACAGCTATACCAATTCAAACTAGTACACTTTTGGAGTTGTTTTGTTCACTTCTGTAAAGAAAATTGAAATATAGATATGTTATATCATCATATAAAGCCATACAGTCCAATATGGTAACCATTACCCCTATATGGCTAATAAATGCAACATAAAAATGAGTGCCTCAGTTCCATCAACACTGTGCTGGATAGCATCAAGATTTTATCCCAGACACTTATATAGGGCTGCAATGTTAGACCCAGCCCTATGGTAAGTTTTGGCACACCAACTCTCCTTCAGAAAATAATACAGAGAAGGAAGACCAGGTCAATGGAACAGTGATCAGATTTAGTCAAATGGACTCAGAAAGGCAGCTGAAGGTTGAATAATTTTCCCAGGTTCAGAAAACAAATCTGTTACACACTGGCTCTGGGATTGCCCTCCATTTCCTCAGTTGTAAAGCAACCATTGTGATACCTACCTGGTGCTGGTTTTGAGAGGAAAACACAAGGCTAGACATGTGAAAATGTGTAGTAGCATTACAATTTCAGGAGACACATGCACACACATTTACACTGGCCCCAAGGAGGCCCTTTTGAATTTGTGGTCACAAATTCAGAAAGAACCACTTCTTGCCAGTATGGATAGATTTGGGCTTCTTGGGAGGCACAGAAAAATGTCTTCCATTTAATTAATGCCAAAATTGCCATTAAAGATTATACTCTGGGCCAGGCACGGTGGCTCATACCTGTAATCCCAGTACTTTGGGGGGTTGAGGTGGGTGGATCATCATCTGAGGTCAGGAGTTCGAGACTAGCCTGGCCAAGATGGGGAAATCTCGTCTCTACTAAAAATACAAAAATTAGTGGGAGTGGTGGTGCATGCCCATAATCCTGGCTGCTTGGGAGGCTGAGTCATGAGAATTGCTTGAGCCCGGGAGGCAGCAGTTGCTGTGAGATGAGATGGCACCACTGCACTCCAGCCTGGGTAACAGAGCGAGACTGACTCTCAAAATCAACAACAACAACAAACCTAATTGTGAGAAACAACTGGCCGTCAGACGTCCTGAATACTTCAGACCCTTGGGTGTGTCACATGATATTTTTGGTTCCCTGTGACTGTGGTAACCTTTGCCCCAACAGTGAGGAGGTTGCTTTTCCTCAGCTTCACATTTTAGGAAATGAAGATGTTTGGCTTTGGCATGACGGTGAGGATTCTCCGGTGTCTTATCCCTCAAGCCTGGTATTCTTGCTCTCCTCCCCAGCCTTGCCTTTTACAACTACTCTGAGAAGCAGCCGCCAACCCTACTCCAGGCACCCAGACTCACTTTTAAGCACTGACCCTAAAGACAACTCATTCAGCAGTTATGGGAACTTCACAGGATTTACACACATTGTATAGAACACGTGATAAAGTTTCAGCTGTGGCTGGAAGACTCTTTCAGAAGGGGTATACCCTCTGGGAGAAAATGGTAGAGTCAGTGGTAACTTTAATTCTTCTGCCTGCTCTGGGAATTGGGGTTGAGGGTAGGGCATCCTTCAACCCAGAGCATCCATCCGAGGCAGAGAAATCTTCGGTTCTTCTACGTCAACATTGTGATCTACTTCCTGTATTTTGGGTCTCTTCCCTCCAGGACCTGATGGCTAGACTTACCTATGTTTACAAGTGCCCCAACTTTTTAAAAGACAATTATTTAGTGTTGCTGCCCCTGTACTTGATTAAATGAGGGGGGAACCACATTTCTCTCTCTGCTCCTCCTCCTCTTCCTCCTGCTGCTGCTCCTCCTGCTCCACCACCTCCTCCTGCTGCTGCTCCTCCTGCACCTCCTCCTTCTGGTCCTGCTCCTCCTCCTGCTCCTGTTCCTCCTTATTGGAATTACACAGCAAAGGACAGAACAGCCTAGGAAACAAGTGACTAGCTGCACCGTGAGACAACTGTGTACAAAAATTCTGCTGGTCAAGCATCTTTTGCTAGGCAACAGTGCCTTTTGGGTGGCCTGTATATGCTATTTAAACTATTTTTACATTAATTTGCAAAGCTATGATAGAAGGCAGGCAATAAGCTAGAGCTTCCCACCCTCCCATGCCCCTCCCCACCAACCCCATGCCCACATTCCCAACCGTTGGGACCCAATCCTGATGGATCTAACAAAGAATGTCCAGGACATCTGGGAAGTGGCATGGGAGACAGAGACATGCTTATGAAAATTAACTTCACCTCAGAGAGAGCCACAGAGAGGGAGGGGGAGAGCACTTACATGGCAGGGAAGGTGATTGGACTCAGATTTATGTCACAAAACAAAAAGAGCCACGACAGTGGGCTTACTTGCAGAAGTATATACAAGTGAACTGGGGGCACTGTACATGGAAGATCCCTCCTGGTTGGCCTGGCACAACAGGACCGTGCCTACGAAAGAGAGAGAGAGATGGTATCTGGTTTGGGAATTGGCACACTACACCTGAGAGATCACGGCAATGCAACCGAGAAACGCAGGGAAATGAAAACAGCCACATCCCAGAGCGCAGGACAAGGGCACCCAACAAAGCCCCCTGCCTTAGCCAAAGGGAATCGACGGAAGCCCCCCCCCACCCTCAACAACCCAGCCCGCCAAGCACACGTCATGACTTTTCACACGGGGTTGTGTAGCGTGCTCTGGTTGCCCCAGGGCCCAGGTTCAGATCAGGAATGGGGAAGCAGCGTGGTATCCTGAAAAGGGAACTTGAGAAATATTGGAGGGAACTAGAGAGTAAGCCTGACTCAGACACCTCTTCACTGTGTGTGATCTGGCAAGTCACTGTACCTCTCTGTGCCTCGGTGTTTCCATCTGGAAAACAGGGGTAAATATACCTACCTCCAAGAAGGGCTGTGCATCGTATGACTGGAGATGTACCCAGGGCAGGGGCTGGCATGTAATAATCACTATTAATAGTAAGCATACATGTTGATACGTTTATGGAAAACTGTACCTTCCTTCAAACATCAGTCTTTCCGAATCGGTTCTTCAGAGGAAGAACCAAAGTAAGGCAGAGAAAGAAAAATTGCAACTTTTTGCCATCCCTGGGACTCACCCTGGACCCACGATGGACACTGGGTGAGAGAATATTTGGCTTCTGCATTCCCACTTTCTTCCCTAAAGCTTTCTGCCTTCCAGCCAGAAAGGCTGCCTAGCTCATCCTGCAAACCGCGGCTGCATTGCAGCAATGACTTGCCTCCTCCTGATTTAAAGCGAAGGGCACTAGGTTTATCCTCGCAAGATGGAATTTTACAGCGGCGAATAATGGTGGAATCCTGACATACCTCCTCAATCTAAGACAGATTTTGAACAACCACCCACTCCAGGGATGACCGGGGTCAGGAATTGTCAGGGTATCAATTCTACTTTCCCACTGCTGCAAGACTCAAACTCCTAAGACTTTGAAAAGAATTAGAATTCTGAGGAGTTTTAAGGCCATTACTGGTGATGGAAATGCCTCCCTGTGGTTTCTGGTCACTTCCCTGGCGAGGGAAGGTCAACCACCCCAGTTTGATTTGGGTTCCCCTGTCAGGACCACCACGGGAAAGCAATCTCCCAGGATAAGCCAACCTTACAAGTTCCCCAGAACAGGGAACTTTTCTACATCCCTGGAGACTGGCCCTAGGGAATAGTTCTATGATCCTTCTGTATCTTCCCTATGATCAACAAAAATGTAGTTTAAACTTCCAAAGTATGTGGGGCCCTGCTACATAGAGGGACTGCAGGGGATGTCATCAACAGAGAGTAAACCAGATACAATTCTTGCTAACCCATCTCACTCTTCCGCTGTTACCAGTCTGACAACTCCATCCACTGTTTCCCAGGGAGAAATGGCCCAGGATCAGAGGTTCCACCTGAAGGAATGTCCCATAGTCCTTTTCGATCTGGTATCCTGTGCTTGTAGCTGGAGAAGAACCACCCCCACCCCCAAAATAGCCCTTCACACAACAGTGAAATTAACTTGAAAATAACTAACCTTCTCTCGGTAGTAAATATATCAAGAGTCTGGAGGGGTGTCAGTCATGATCCACCTGTGCTAAACTAGTAGTTCTTTCTTCTTCACTTAAAAACAGTGTATCGGCCAGGTGTGCTGGCTCATGCCTCTCATTCCAGTACTTGGGGAGGCCGAGGCAGGGAGATCACCTGAGGTTAGGAGTTCGAGACCAGCCTGGCCAACATGGTGAAATCTTGTCTCTAATAAAAACACAAAAATTAGCTGGGCATGGTGGAAGGCGCCTGTAATTCCACCTACTCAGGAGGCTGAGGCAGAAGAATTGCTTGAACCCAGGAGGTGGAGGTTGCAGTGAGCTGAGATCACGTCACTGCACTCCAGCCTGGGTGACAAGAGTGAAACTCCCCCTCAAAAAAAAAAAAAAAAAAAGTTTATCACAAGGTATGAGATGATCCTTTACATGGTTTAACCTCTCCTCAGGTATTTCCAGTTTTAGCAGGTCGCTGGGGATTAATAACAAACAAACCAAACTTTCAAAGAATGGAGATTAGGATATGAAACCAACCAAGGGGAGGCAAGCTACCTACACCAGGAAGGACAGTTAGTCTCCTCTACAGTCAGTGCTGTTTATTGATGAGTACTCCTGTGTGACTCTGCAGTGGTTATCCATGTGCTTCTGCTCACTGCTAGAAATCTTAGAAATGAATGTTTCTACAGGACACACAGAGTTATCAGATCAGAATCATCTAGAATAGGATCCTAGCAGGTGGATTTAGGGAAAGCTCCTCAGCCTTCTCTCCTGTGCATGCCTGGTTAAAAAAAAAAAAAACACTTTTAAAATCAGATCTGAAGTTTCTTGGGGTGCCTAAATTTCAAGAGAAAAATGTATAACTAACAAAAACATATGCGGAAGGACATTTCAGTATTGTATGGTTAAAACCCGTGGGTCAATTTTCAATATCCTTGATGCAATTTATAGAATACCACTGGGACACAGCACAGATTTTTGCCTGGAAAGCTAACCTCTGGCAGGGCATAATGAAGCATTCCTAATTTTTTTTTAAGCTGTGGATTCTGAGAACCTGGACTGAAATAACTTCTTTTAGATACTTTCTTAATAGTAAAAAAAAAAAACAAAAAAAAAAAAACTTTATGCAATGATTTTGACCTTTTGTAAAACAAAATCTATGCCTTCACAGGACTTGGTTTTTGTTTTATCTAAAAGCATCCTCCAATTTAATTTGCAAAGTACTTACTGTATGTTCCCTTAGTGCTTTGTGACCTTTTCTTAAAAGGAAGCTTTGAATTCAACAAAACCAAAGCAGCAGAGAACACTGCAACCTCCTTGCATTTTTTGGGGGCAGGGAAGGGTAAGTGTGTTTGTTTTAAAAAGTAAGTCAAATAGGTAATAAGGTACAAGTAGCAGTATGAATAGTGCCTACAACGTCATTTCCAAGTGCTTCTCTACATAGCCTCAACATAGCTGTTCAGTGAGTCCACTGAGCTGGATCTTCTGTCCGTCCCTAGCCTTCAACATAAACCTTCTACTGTCAGATGCCAGGAACCTTCATCTGTATCAAATGGTGACATCGGTACTTCTCAGACTTCCGTGCTTTTAACAAATTCCTTATAATTTAAGGATGGCAACTGGGGTCAATTTATACCACTACCTACCCACTCTAGCCAGAATGGAATGAATCAATTTCAGTATTATCCTTTCCTATTGACCTGGAATCCTCACAAGCATTCTCAACATAGCCAGTAGGCAATGATTCCCATTTGATTAGAGTTGAAGGGAATCAGACCTTCATGCCATACCTGCTCTTAGAGTTAAACCATTTGAAACTGACTTTTTTTTTTTTTTTTTGGACAAATAGAATTGAATGTTGCCAAGTTCATGTGGTTCAACTTAAACAAAAAAGTGGCTTCCCTTGTCCTTCTCCAATGTAGTTTAAAAGTGACTAGTCCTCAGGGGTGAATTAGTCACCCCCTATTCTATGCTCTGATCTTACATTTTTAAACCTCCCTGATAGATCCTTCGTGGTCCTGTACTACAATTTTCTACTTACATATTGGTCATCTGAACTCCAAAATCCAGCTGGGGTAAAGCCAAATCATATGCATCTTTTCATCCCCAGCACCTAGCAAAATACCTGGTCCTCAGAAGGATTAATGCATATGATTGAATTATAATATATTTTTAAAAAGAACTCTCCACTTCTATCTTTGCTAAAAATAGTGGTTTTTTTTTCCAACCAATCCTCCTTCTACCTATTGTTCATGGCAAGAAATTTGCATGCCTAAAGTTTAAATAGACTTACAAACTACATCTAACTTTTATAGATTGAAATAGCTTCAATCTATTTCACGTGTTGTCTTTTCTTTCCTGGTTCTTATAAAGTTGGCTCATCCAGTCTAACAAGAAACCTGGACAGCCTGGACTGACGATGACTGTATCAGCACCTGGCAGAGACTGAGCTCCATGGGACAGACCTCAATCTCAGAATAATCAGAGCCCGTTCCAAAACCTGTCACACTTGCGTGCTCTGAGTGCTGGGTCATCAGCATCCCCACATGCTGGCAAGATGTCCCACAGCCACTCTCCAGCAGGATTTGGAATCCTCCAGTGAGGAAGGGGTAAGCCAGGGTCAAGGCCTCAGATTGGGCATCAGAACCCTTTCTGCTAAGCCACAGTCTCCCTGCACTGTGTAGGGGATCATTCCTGGGCCCTGAAGGGGCAGGGACAAGCCTAGAAAGGATGCTTCCCATCACAGACAGGAAGAAGGAAGTGTTGAAAAGTGTTTACTCTGCTGCCAACCCTGAAGTGAGGAAAACTGGACTCAAACCGGAACAGCAGTGCGGTTTCACACCTCCGTGCCTTTGCAGAGGCTCTGTCTTTTTCCAGGAAATCTTTTCCTTACTCTAGATAACTCCTTTCTGGATTCAGCTCTGCCTTCTCCTAGAAACCCTATCTATGTACCTTTGTCTGGCCAAGTTCAGCTTCCTTTCTCTGCTTTTTAAAATTGTGTTGTTGTAATCTATTTAGAGAGTGTCTTCCCCCATTGATGCTACTAAATCAAAGAGATCAGGAATCATGTGTTTATCTTCCTATCCTCATGCATTCAGGAACCTAGACTAAGAGGCAGGAAGCAAATAAAGAGAATCCAAAGGTTTCTGATAGGCAGTCGTGCTATACTTTCAAGAAATAAAATTAAAATGGAGGATGGGAAGCAAGAAAAGGGTGTTTTGGCAATGTCTGCCCCTTCCTTTTTAGTATCAAATAGGCACAGTTCCAAGCCAGCACATGGTGAATAACTAGAACCTTTCCTACATAATTTCCAAATTAAAAAAAAAAATGTGAAAGGAACATCCCAACTGCCTGGCAACTGGGAGCGGTCAATTAGCTTCATGAGCTCCAAGATGAAGATGTGTTAGAATATC